GAGAATGCGCTTCTTATGTAATACCTCTCATGGACATGACCAGTTGTTTTCAGCTAAATATCATGTTTCCCATTTTAAATCTAAACTCCTCCAAACTTAGCCTCGACATTTCCAAATGAATCAGAGGCTACAGTTTGATATGTTAATTTGGCTGTTCAAGTTTGGAAATAAGACAGAGGAGCATATGTTTGAAGCTGATGTTCTGAACTCCTCCGTGATTTTGTTTAGTCCTCAGCCTACATCACATGTTACCATAACCCACAGTTTGTATTTGAGTTCTCATGTGGGTATTTCTAAACACCAGCGAGGGACATCTAGCACACAAGCTGGTGAGTTCAACCAAAGTGCGCAATGCCTGTCTGCCTGAAACACCTCCTTAGAGGATATCTCACTGCTACACATTAGCACTCTTTAGAAATGTGAAATCCAGATGGTATTGCGGTTAACAGGCAAGTATGACTAAAATGAGTGAGTCATTTAGTTGTATTCTGCCTTGGGTAGCAGAGTAGGTGTAGCTTTTAGTATAGCATTCAGAAAGAAACAAATATATTTGAGTATTCGTCAGACTCAAAGAGATGCTTTTGTATAACATATGGTACAGTGTGTATTTTATTGGATTAGCTTTTGACTCTCTTACTGTTGAACCCTGGTTCCGTTCTTATTTATTCTGGTGCCAGTTAAATATAGTTTTGTGCAATAAATTAAACTTCATAAATATGGTTTACTTAAATGCATCTGCCCTCCCATCTGTTGTTTGCAGTTGAGCTGCTGCTTGTAGGCTAGAATATTAACTTTGGCATATTTCACTTTGATGCATATTCACACAGGAGAGGTTTTATGATACAGTGAATTAATTTGTGCAGGCGAAAACAAATTTGACTTTTAACAATTTTTGGCCTAGATTCCCTGATTTGGCTGCCTAAGAGGATTTGCAATCAGGTTTGGAATTCATTTCAAACCTGAACGTAAGACTTTGATCTAGATCACAGCTTTCCATCGTTTGGCAAAAATAACAAGAGCATGTTGATGAAGCTTATTAATTTCTGTCACTTGGGACAATTACAAATACACGTTTCATCTAAAGACAACCACACCACAAATATGTATTGTTATACCCTGCCATGTTCTGCTATATCTTTGTTTGCGTTAATGTACACACATTTGAAAAAATAGCAACTAATCTTAGAGGCACTTGAATATGTATCCATCTGAAATCTCTGCCATGTCTGCAATGCAGTAAAACAGAAAATACATTCAGTCCAAATGATCCTAGTTTCTTGTGAGCTATTTATTAACATAGCTGTCTGTAGTTGCACCAAACAGTTTGTGAAATGACCTGAACACATTTGCATAATCTCTGCTCTTAATTATCATAAATGAAATGCAGTAAAAGACGCTTTTTATGCGAGAGATAATATCAGATATCAAGCATGTTCCCCCTCATTTTGAATAGCGATGACACCAGTGTCAGGGATAATCATTTGTGTTCTCTGTGTAGGTGGATTGCTGTGAGGTTAGTTCAAGTGTTTTTGCCTTCACTTTATGTGTGTGCTGTGTTTTGACGCAGTCATAAGCTGCTGAAATGTATGGGTTGATTGGAGCAAGCTCATAAATGGAGAACTTGGTGAAAGGAAATCTAAACTTATTAAATTAACTTTCCCAACAAAACAGAGCACACTTCCATTGCTGACGTAACTGCAAATGCACACAAGCATTAAACAGCCTCAAATTACATCAAGGCCTAAAGCTAATGTACTTTGAAACCAAACTGTATTCAATGTTGAAATAAATCACCATGTGCTTGTGATCCGGAGGAATCACAGTGGACTTCTTATGTACAAAATCCTGCGGGTTTTTATTTACAGCAATAAAAGGACATGATTTCCCATCCCCTCGGCTTACACAAAGGGACATTCCAGGCTCAACCTCAATAAAAAAGAGACATAAATCAAGCCCCAAGGTTTAGCTTTTATTTTGATTTACACTGCCCATGGTGAGATGAAAATCTTGTGTATTACGATAAATTTCAAGTGTAAAACATGGAGTATTTCTGTCGTATAAGAACATGTTTGCAGGTCGAGGTTAATTAAGGAGAGATCGCTATAGAATACTAGTCTGAAGAGAGTGTATAAACATACATTTAACTATGTGTATTAAGTACCCAATACATTTCTCATTCAAATAGAGTATATTGTGTGCAGGGGTCAGTGTCTCTTGCTCCTTGTCATCACATTATTTCAGCCACTTTACACAAGATTCATCTTAAGCACATTCATGTTTTTCATATTATGTCAACATGCTAAGAACCATTCAAATACATGCATACATTTTGCAACATTAGAATAACATGCACACGGTGTAATTTGACCACGTCAGATATCATGTAACTGATGTATGTGCATGTGTGTCGCCTCTGCATAACATTAGGATAATAGGAGCACATTAACTCATCAGCCATTTGTCACGATTCAATGGATTATTTTGGCCATTATGAAACTACGTCTGTCAGCCACCATCAGACATTTATTAAACAGATGTGTCACTGCACTTTGTCATAAAGGACAATATATATGTGTGTTTCATTATTTATGTTGGTAATGTACTGAATTATTTTGACAGGGGAACAAAATCAAGTTTGGATGGAGTCGTATTGAAATTACCCCAGGGTGTTTTATCGTTGTATTATTGTGTGGTTTTTAATACAGTTCTCACCCACTCACTTTGTCTTCCATGGTGTATCTTTGCATACATGCTGAGCTGTAGAAACATGCAGGTCCAACACTGATATCAATTGGTTTACGCTGATTAAAGGAACCATTATTATTTAAAGTATCATTATCTGAATGCTTTGATTAAAGAGAGGCATCATTGTTATTGTATTTAAAGATGCAATTTCCTTTACCAGCTTTTCTTCAGAATATTATGGGGCTTCCAGACAAGCGAGGAATCTTAGTATTTCCATGTACAAAAACCCTGGATTTTGCTATTGTAGAGCTCCAGTGGCGGCCGGTGGTCTTTTTTTTTGGTGGGGCTTTTGACGTACCGTAAGTGACCTGTCCGGGGGGTCCGGGGGGTTTCCCCCCGAAAATTTTTTTCGAGAAATGACCCCTTAAATGATGACTTCTGGTGATGTTAGAGGGGGGGGGAAAGGAGAAATCGAGGCTTAAAAATATGAGAAGACTGATCAATACCTCCATAATCTTCAGTGTGGAAAATATTATTTATCAACCTGAACATCTACTACTTTACCAGGAATTTGTGTTCTCAGAACTGGTCTGTTTTTTTCTTTCTTAAAACTGTTCATGTTTTATGAACCAACACCTTCACCAAGTAGCTTTACAGTGAACTGCATGTGAGATATAAAATTAATAGCATCTTTTCAGTAGCATTAATTATAAATATTTAAGTGGTTCAATACAAGTCACTACAGCATTTCAAACTGAACTGTGAATAAATGCAATTTAAAAAAAATAACCACAGCACAAAATGTCATAAATTGTGTTTTTTCTTTGTTTCTCTGAGGATTATTTACAAACAGGCTTATTTACATATAGCAATAACTCAGAAATGAAAAAGCTACATCGTCTAACACGAACAACCAGTTAGCATAATGATAATATATGTGTTATGTACAATGTAACTGGCAAGGCTAGAGCAAGAAAGAACATAAAGTTTGCAAAAGGTTTAAATAACTTCAAGTATCTGTCTTCAGATTACGTGGAGGTTTTAGTCCGATGGGAAGCAGATTTTAAGCGACACCGAAGATAAACCAAAAATGTGGTGGAGCTGCAAACCGTGTAGTGTTGCTGGGACAGAACAGGAGCTATAACCGTTGGAAAATACATCACAGACAATGCAACAAACGTGGAGACAGAACAATCACTTCTGTGATAAATGCCCACTTATTAATAAACTTCTAACAACCATGGGAAACCTCCTCTCTACATATAAAGTGATATCCAAGCATGGGAAACAAAAGACAGCATTTACCTGTTTGCATCCAGCTAGCCAAGCCTTTTTTGTGTACCAGCTACTAAGCCTCGTGTATAAATGTTGTCTTTTTCACGAGATTGCTGCGATATATTCAAATCGGGTTGGTCCGGTGCAAGGTCTTTAAGCAACAATTTATCTGCCAAACTTCTCCTTTCGAAAGGATTGGAGATTAGCTCTTGAACAGAATTAGGCGCGGACCGAGGTCCGGAGACTCCACCTGCACACGAAGCCATCCTCATCAACTACTGCGTCAACCGGATACGAGTCACTGTCCAAACTACTCACAGACTGCACTGGGCGCTGACATTGGCGCCCGGTGACCGTCATCTTTGACGACGCTGATTGGCTGAAATTATATTTTCGCGGCATAGTTTACACGTTACAGATAGCAACAGTCAGCTGCTGGTGGCTGCTGCTGCACTGGTTGAAGGCTCCTCTCTTAGCGCCCAGACGAGAGAAGGTGCATGGGCAAGTCCAGGCAGGAAACATGTGACTTATCAGTAACTTTAGACATCGTAACACAATTTTAAACGAGATTTTATTGTAGATTATACATTTTACTGATACCAATTATATAATATTTACCTTGTTCATTAAAAATAAAAATAAAAACATATATATTTTTTTAAACATATTTTTTTTTTTTTATTTTAATTTTAATTATTATTATTATTTTTTTTTTTCAATATGGGAAGAGGTGGGGCGGCGCCCCTAGCGCCCCTATGGACCGGCCGCCACTGTAGAGCTCATTGTTCCTACTTTCTTTCCTCTGTCTGCTACTGTCTTGCTCTTTTTGTCTCTCTCTGGCCCTCTCGCTGTCTGCTTCCACCGTTTTAACATTTCCTTTGCCTTTGTAACTTTCTTTTTCACTGTAACTTCTTCCTCTCAGCCTTGCGAGGGAGAAGAATCTGCCTTTTGTTATGCCTTCGCTAGATCTTATTTCTTCCACCAATTTATCCAATCTGCTGTCTGATTTTTCTCTTTTCTGTTTCTGTTCTCCTCTGCAGTGAAGCGATCAGTAGATTTTAAATCTCGGGGCGTTAAATTATTCCCTGGCAAAGACTCCAGCAACAAGTTTTCAATATGTGAGTTCACATCTTAATGTCAATATGGCTAATGAACTAACGTGTGATGGCTTGGACTGATTTTGTTTCTACATTTGCCTTGTTTTTTTTTTTTAATTGCCTCTTAAAAAAGCTGTTGGTTTCAACCCTTTTCTATTGACAATGCTGAAAAATCACGAGTTGTTTTGTAGACAGCATGTGGTTACATCAAGTCAGACAAACATGGTTTTTGCTACAGAGAAGTGTTGAAACATCCACAGCTTTTATAAGACCAAGCTTCTGCATGCTGCTCGACTGCTTTGTGTTGTTGTTGTTTGATGTTTTGTGTGTGTGTTTTTGTCATGGTGTCTTGGTTTTTGCATGATTCTTCATGGCTTGCTTTGATATATTTAATCGAGGCTTGTTCTGATAAGCTTAATCATGGTTTCTTTTGGCTCGCTTTGGGCTTGTTCAGCGGATGTAAATCAGCTGATGCTATATTGTTTATCGCTCCCTCCTGCCTCTTCTCCTTTATTTCCTCATCGCTCTCTTCTCTTTCTGCTCTTATCTTCTGATCACACACTTAACAACAGCTTGTAGACCTTGTCATTAGAGGGCAACAAAGCAATTATTGACATTTTTACAAAACCCCTCTACTATATTGGCCAATGCTAGAGTGAGTGGGTTTTATGTGTATCTTCAATAATTCAAATGTACATTTAAGATTATATACACACAATATAGGGGTTCACTCTAGAACTCCCGAAATTGCCTTATTCATTTACTGCTCTTCTTTTGAAACTTCTACAATTTCGTTTAACTTTGAGAAATAAAAATGTGTAGCACTTTGGAAACTCTTTAATAAGACATCCTGAAGGAAAATTATCGAGTGTGAGGGTGCCAATGGTTCATAAGTCATTTGACACACCGTACTGCAACAATTCTCACATGAATATTATTCCATTTTGTTCATAGCCCTTTCAACAATTAAAACCATGGAAAATGTTGAAGAAAGAGATTACTCTTTAAAGGTTTTATTACATTCTCTTACTGACGTTTCCCTTATTAAAGCTGTCAGAACCCATATAAACGTCATACTTTTTAGAGTGATCTTAAATTAAATTCCCTTTTTATATATTTCTTTCTCTATATTACACTCTCACATAAATACCCTCTCACATTATACTCATAATGGTGCTAACATGTGTGTGCATTTATGTTTCCCACCTAGATTAATCATAAACACTAGAGTAGACACATGTGTTACACAGTCATTTGCATACCCAGATGTTCATACAATATTGAACATGCATAAATGTACATGTGTAAACATGCATGCAATTCCTAAGATAGATGTATATTATTTATCTGTTGTTCATTATCTGTTTTTGGACATGATTTATTTGTGTGCTTTCTTGGCCAGACCTCCTTCGTAAAAAGGATTGTAATCTAAAGGGATGTATAAATTAAGGTTGAATACAAAATAAACGATCATATGCTTTGATATATAAGCCAATACATGTCAAAAAACTAAAAGGTTCACAAACATGAAGTGAAGTCGTGCTTGTCCATGTAGTTTATTGTTTTGCATGCTTGTTAATGAAGTTGTTTTGAGCGTACTTGTCTGATTTATTTGCTTGTTTTCCTTATTTGCTTGTCAACTTTGTGTTTGTGCGTGTGTGTTTATGTGCACATCTCTTAAAAACTGTACGAGCTGAGCTGAGCTAAGCACAGCACAGAGACACACTGCATCTCCGATTCATCAGGTTTCCAACAGGTTGGGGAGTCATGGTGGAGGTTTGATTCGTACAGATGCAAATGTATATGTTAATTAGTCTGGCTTGGATTGGTTCAGAATGTGCTTTGCTCAGACTGTTTAACTCTCCAGTGAAGCACAGAACCTGTTTTTGCCTGTCCATGCTTATATTCGTGTTTTTCGATTCTGTACATCGTGTTTATTTATATGTGCATGGATCTACAGTGTGTGTGTACATACGTGATTATTGTGGGGATCTGTGTGTGCGCACAGTACTGATACTGCAACCAGTCCCTCTGTTAGAGTGTTAACAGTCCAGATGGTCAAATTAGCCGCTCCAACAAAGCAACAAAGTATCTACTCCAACACACACACACACACACACACACACACACACACACACACACACACACACACACACCAACATACACACACCAACCACCTGCTGGGTTTGTTGATACGGACTAAACATGGACATGCATGTTAGTCGGATAGTACAGATAGATATGCAGGCTGCATGAGAGAGGAACCAGTCAGTTATATCCCCCGCCTGTTTGTTACCCCTAATTGAGTTCTTTGACAAATGCATTTTTGTTAAACATAACATGAAGCTGTACTTGTTTTGCAGTTAGTGCCAGGAAAAACTTATATAAAAACATTGAATATACCATTTAGGTTACACATTTGCGATGACATATATATTATATTATTTAATATTTCACTGATTTAGTGGTTCTATTTGCAAATCTCATTCCTATTTATGTCCCATTTCCACTTTAATTGCTATTAGTGGAATCATTTTATGAGCCGGGTTCAGTGCAAACAGACCTTTTTTTTTTAGATGATGTTAACTGTGACTTATTACTGCAGCAAAAATAACTTCCAGGCATAAAAGCAACACTAGGATAAGCTAAGCATAAAGTTTTCAAGGAAGAATATGCAGCAAAACAAAAATAATGAGACGCAACAATATCGTTCATCTCCATTCAAACAACATGAAAGGAATCAAGAATCACATAATTGAATCACACTAGTGAAATAAGTGATCAACAGAATACTTCCACATTGTCGTCTAATTGCTGCTTGAAAAAAAGAAGCTGAATATTATATTACATCATCATCATCAAGAACATTAGTTGTATTTCCATCTCATTTGAATATCAAAATAAAATACTAAATACTTTTGCTGTAAAGCTAAATTAAATAAGCTAAATAAGTTTCCCTTTGAGTTATAGTTTACTCACACAAGACATTGGGAAAAAACGAATGACTGAACAAAAATAATACACATTTTCCAACAGTTGCCCACATTTTACATCAGGATTATTTATTAATTATACCATCATCATGAACTAATTAAGACATTCAAAAAATACCATCAGGTGGGGCCTTACTGTAAATTGAGAAAAAAGGACATTAATGTACCATACAATACTTTCATCATTTTGTTGTTAGCCGATGTTTAACAAACTGCTCTGTGGAACTTGACACATCCCTTTCAGTAGGAAATTAAAAATAAAAGAACATTGAAAAATATTTTGAATATCAAGTGTGTTTTGAGCTAAATTGGAAAAGCTGTTGGAAGGGAATAAAGTTATGTTTGTGTTGCATTATTTAACTTAGCTTACAGCAATACTAAGGCACATAACCCTTTTGCCTATTTGCTCACCAACACACAAACACATACACATTGCTCAAAGTTAACCCAACAGCTATGTTCTTCAAAGTTTTCAAAAGTAGTGCTTAAAGAAAAAAGTAGACTCCGAAGGTTATGGAAATCAACAATTCTAAACAGTAGTGTCATTTCAGGAAAGCCAATAAAATATAGCTGTGGGGTTATTTATATAGAGGGAGGAAGGAGAAATGTGAGTGACAGGTAAAGATTAAAAATACCAAAGACAGGTCAGGAAAGAAAGAAAGAAAAGATACATACATTTACTCTTAACAGCAGTAATGTATAAGAGAGAGAGAGACAGAGCACAGATGCATCGTGTTGTGATGTTGCAGTATTTGTACAGGTCCATCTGTTGTCTGTGTGATGTTCGGAGTGTTAATGTCAAGTTTAGTTTCCGTGTTTCTGTGAGAATTAGGATTGTATTTGGAGTGTAGTGCTGTCCCTGTCTGCCTAACTCTCTGTCTAACCCGTCTGTCCCTTTATCGCCTGCTCTGTACGTGTTTCTCCTTCCACCTGTTTCTGCCCCCTCTAAAGTGGAAAAGTGACCAGACAGGCAGGCAGGCTTCCAAAAACTAAACTAAAACTGGAGACGTCTGGTGCAACAACCAGAATGACAGACAGTTCAGACGTATATCCCTCAAGGGAGAGTCTGGTTGCTTTGTCTGTGCCTAATAGTAACTTGTCTGTGCCTGGCTCTCTACCTGTCTGTCTCTCTGTGTAGTAAATGAAGGAGGTGTGAAACATGCGTCTAACTCCTGCCCTGACCCAGGAGAGCCAGAGAATGGAAAGCGGCATGGCAGCGATTTCAGGTACAATGTTCACATGAGCATATTTGTATTCACAGATAGATACACACACATGCAGGTACATAGAGTATAAGCATTTACAAAAATATTGTGTCTCTATATTTTTTCTTGTCTGACTCTGTGTGTCCCCTTTGTGTGTGGATTATGTGTTTGTGTGTGTAGCATTGAGTCTATGGTGCAGTTCACTTGCGGAGAGGACTATGTTCTTCAGGGCAGTAAAACCATCAGCTGCCAGAGAGTGGCGGAAGTCTTCGCAGCCTGGAGTGACCACAGACCGGTCTGTAAAGGTAAGAAATACAAATGAATTACATCTTAGTAACATACTGTACATACAGATGGAGAAAAAGGCACTATGTGAAGGTAAGAAAACACTTGCAGGGGTGCCCACACTTTTTCAGCTTGGGAGTTACTTTTAAAATGACCAAGTCAAAGTGATCTACCTACAGGGCCGCCCCTGCCCAAAGTCATGTGGTGCTAGTGGACTGCGAGCACCGGAACCTCGCAGCGGCGGAGAAACTGTGGCGCACTTACACTAATTGCGCCGCATTTGCGCTTCAGATGAGGAGGTGAGGCCCCCTCCGCGAGGTGAGGGCCCACGCAGTCTGCGTGATCTGCGTCTAGGGAGGGTCTGTCTACCTACATTAAAAATGCTAAACATATATTTATTTATATATATACTGAGTATACCTTATGTTGGTGTACCTTGCATAACTGCATGAACCCGTATGGCACAATACAACTCAGTACATTGTTGGTCATTACATCAATTTTCTACCCTTTCTTTAGTAGAATTGTATAAATTGGAAGGCTAACTAGGTAATCAGCTCGCCGGTGATTTGCAGCTGGCGCGGTTGACTGCGCATGCGTGGTGAACTGCGTGTTAGAAAAGATGAGATCTCAGACTGGCTTACCTGTACGTCAATCAAGTGGAAAATGCCATAGTAAGGTTGGATGATAGGCTAACTTTTTTTTATTTATTTTTTTCAATGCCTTGCGATCTACCCACACTACCTTCGACGTATTGGGCACCCCTGCACTAAAGCAGGGGTTCCCAAAGTGGGACCCCAAGTGGGGGTCGCGAGATGATTACAAAATGAAAATGTAAAATTAAAAACATTTAAAAAAATATATATTATCAATTTTTTTAATTATTATTAATAATAACGTTTGCATAGAAATTGTTCAGAGGCGGACTGGCCATCTGTATAATTTACCCGCAGCGAGGCTCCCCCGTTGATAATCCACTAGCGCAGTGTTTCTCAAACTTTTTCATACCAAGGACCACTTAACCAATAAAAAAACACTCACGGACCACCTAACTCCACACATATCCAAAAACAATAGGCCTGCTTACCACTCCAACAGTACATAACAGCCAAATAATGACAGCTTAACCTTCTCTATATCGCCTCGTTCACACAATAAATCAACAATACAACTACAACTACAGATTATATAAGCATTTAGTTCAAATGCGATTTAAAATGCTCAGGTTTTACACCTCTTATGAAATGTAGACTACATTTATTACGGAGTTTATGTCCGAGCCAACAGACTCACAGATCGTTGGCTACTGAGAGAAATGCAAAACACACCGCATGTAGTACGACACAAACCTCCGCTGTGGGTTTCAAAGCAAAATACAGTAACACTATGGTCGCAGGCCCAAGTTTAACTCTCTGAGGTCTAAGCCATTTTTTCACATGTTAGGCTCGCCTGGGCTTTATTTGTAAAAATGCTATTAAAACATGAACCTTGGTGACCATCGGGCTGGCCTGCATGGTCTGCCTACAAAACAAAAATTAAAAAACGTTTATGCAGCCCCAACAACAGCCTCTGATCATCCACAGACTTCATGCAATGCTTCATTGGATGCATATATTAGATAATAATCTCTATCTCACTCCTAACACATCTAAATCTACTTTCAGCATGGATAAATGTTCATAAAATACATCCATTGGTTGTTCTATATGCTTCTTGAAATCCTAAAAAAAAACACATAGTTTTTCTAGAACAGATTACAAATCGCCATCGAAGTGGCAACATGTGTGATGAAACTTAAGCTCGCTCCATTGTGGAGATATTCCCGCGAGAGTGCGGAAGACTTTAAATTATTTATTTATTCACTAGCACCACCCCCCCCCCTTTGTATTTTTTAGTTTGCAGTAGGACCAAAAAAAAAATCACAATTTGGTTACAAGCCTCTGGCTATACACTTCTGAATCAAAACACTCCATAATCCAAGGTTTGCGCCAACATGCTGCAGTTGTATGCTTCTTCCGGGGGAATTATATTAGTGATTAGTTCAGGACCCAAAATTACACCCTTTTTCAAAAAGACAATATACTGCCGATGAACACCACTTTGCACCATATCAATATTGCTCAATAAAACAATACATGGGGACAGGGGTACATTTTTCAAAATTCACTTTTAGTACTCTGATGAATAACATGTTTTCATTATGTAACTTCCCCGTACTGGTTCCGGTTTTGCGTCTGCCATGGGTTTAATCTCCAACACACACTCTCATCGGCCCACACGCGCATGAACAGAGGGAGCGGGACAGGGGGAGAGAGAGGGGGACAGGGGGGAGAGAGAGAGGGACATGGGGGGGAGAGAGAGGGCGTCTGTCATGTTAAATGCCAAAGTCGTTTGTCATGTCTGCCTTCACTAGGCTTCACACTCTGGCTGGAGACACATACTTTAACATAAAAACCAATATTCACTGGGTGTGGGTCTTTGTGTGTGTGTGTAAGAGAGAAGGACAGAGAACTTTTTCTCCTAACTAATAATCACAGATATAAAAAAAGTGAGGACCGGGAACAGAAGGAGGAGAGGAAGAGGGGCAGGGAACATCTGAAAAATGTCACACCTACTCTTTCTGCTTAAATTATATCCTTTGCAAAAGTAAAACTCACCATATCCATCACAAGACATTAGCATATGAACACCAGCTAGACTTTTGTGCAGCCGGGTGATGCAACATTTCTGAAAAACAGATTTAAAGTATTATGAACATAACTCCTCGAAGAACATTTCCCCATTTTAATCTTAGTGTAGGACCGAACTTTAAGAGGACACTAAATCAGTCAGACCTGAATGATGGTTTTGTGATGGGATAGTTATTGCTTTAGAAATGAATGCTTTTTTTCTGTAGCACCCTGGGAATGATTTGTGCTAACATGTGTCCTAGCTTCCTACACTTGCGTGTCTTCATGAGTCTTAGCTCTTCCCAGCAAGGATATACAAATGCTGCGATCGAGGAGAAGAAGCAGCTAAATCTGAAATCAGTTACTTATGATGTTTTTCAAACTGTGAGCCACATGGTTAAACATATCTGTGTAGGATACTTTGTTTCCTCACTCCATGAGTCTTTGAGGAGACTTCTCTCTCTTCACTCCTCATCTCCCTGCGGTGCATTTAAGGGATCATAGGAGATAGCGGAAGGGGAACCTCAAAAGATCCTAACAGATAGCAGAAGGGGAACAATTTCTGGAACTCTGCAGGAGAGAAGGCGTGAGGAAACATAAGTTAGCATGATTTAAAAGAACCAAAACCTTGCTCAGGGACCCGTGTCAGTGCTGAAGCTTGCCATCCGTGGATCCTGCACTCTTGGCTTCTGGGTAAATGACACAGTCCAACACAAGTATTCAATATTGGAGCGGCCCACAGGGGGACAGACCTTTGTTAAGCTTTTGTTAGGGTGACAGCTCAGATCCTTGTTAAGACAGCAGGATGTAACCTGGCCAATGGAGTAAGGATTTGGCAGTGTCACTTGGGCTGTGATTGGTCCCTGCCAATCAACCTTATTAACCAACTCATTATCAGGGATATTATAGTGCTGATACCCTCTGATTGGCTCTTTAAGATTGTTAATGGCTGTTAGGGACTCATCATCACTAAATACGTTTTAATGAGCAATTAAATATAGCGTCTGACATTAATCCAATCAAGTCTCACGTTTACCTGCATGTGATAATGGGCTAAGCCTCCCCAAAGGGAGACTGCAAATGACATTAAAGTCACTGATGTTGTCCCCTGAAACGGAATGGTTGAAAAGAATGGCCTCTATCCCTGGGAGGCAGAGCCATTAGCCCTCCGTCAGCAGAGATCTTTGAAGGAAAGTTATACAGACAGAGTGGGACACTTTCACAGATATACTGTAGCTTTGGAGTAGCAGGAGTTAAAGTTATTTCTGATTGAAAACGCATTGCAAGTATTTAAAGCACAAACAATTGTTCGGTGAGCCACGTTTTTGATAAAGCCATGACAAAGTGCACCATCCTGCTCCATGGTTGTTGCTAAGTAACTAGTGACTGCGCTAGTTGATCTCTGTTATTTTAAGACACTCAAAGCCCATTGAGGGCACTGTTACTCCAGCATAGTCCCATGGTACAAGCTGTATAACTCAATTAATCCAAGCCTATGCTAAAACAATAGAAAACACTTTTCATGATATGCGTTGATCACCGTTGACAAGTCTACACTTTACCATGAATGCTATTAAAGTATCCACAATTGAAGCTTGTTGAGAATATTGTTAAAATATAATATTCTGCTCATGCAAGTACTGCCGAGTGCCATTGTTTTGAAGTACAACTCTGTCCTACTTTGGTGAAACACAAGACATCCATCTTCAGAAATCCCATAAATCCCAGGATAACCGCATTGAGGTTGCTTGAAGGACAGGATTCATGTAACACTGGAATCATATCTTTTTGACAACACTACCACAGCTTTATTTTGAGATATATCCCAAGATCTACAAAAAAAGACAACAAAAAGGAAAAACCAACAACACTTTGCTACTGTAAACATTGTAAGTATACATGTAAAGCTTGAAATAGGATGTTTCGGTGATGGTGGCTTAGCTTAACAGACGATAGAGACTGCTTCTCTATTTTTAAACATGTTGAAATAATTCAGTTTTCCCTTAGGGACAAAAATCCAATATTGAAATTCTGAATGTGAAAACGCCTCAGAGGCAAGATAGTTGCCAGTGCAAAGATTATATACCATGAGTAGAATCAACGTAGCAGTTTTCTTAAATGAGTCTGTTGCTCTTACCATTCATTTCATTAGACTTTACTTTCACAGCTTTGGGATTTTCTAGGCATGCTCTTTTACAATGAATGCAAGTTCATGTATACGATTATGTGAACCACAACAGCAAACACAGCAGGATCTGGAAGGGGAGCTATAGAAGGACCACATTGTTAGCACAATACTCTAGTATAAGCACATATGGTGATGTTGGAGCTCAGTAATGGCCAGACATCAA